AGTGTATGTTTACTGACAAAATATCAGGGCTTTTTTTTACTGTTGTTTTTTTCCTTTTTAGGCATTGAGTTACACAGAGTGCCACATAAAATTGACTGAGTTCCAATCTCCCCCGATAATCTTCGTCATCCTGGAACTCAGTTGACTCGAAAGACGATTAGTTTATAAGAGGAAGACTTGCATTTGCATAGCGCCTTTCAGAACCTCAGGATGCCCCAAACTGCTTGACAGCCAATGAAGTATTTTCAAAGTGTAAAAACCGAAAGAACTGCGGATGCTGTAAATCAGGAACAAAGACAGAAGTTGCCGGAAACGTTAACTCTGATATTTTTCTTCACAGATGCTGCCAGACCTGCTGAGCTTTTCCAGCAACTTCTGTTTTTGTCCCTGTATTTTCAAAGTGTAGCTTGTCGCTGACTGCATGGCAGGAAATGTGTTGGCTAAGTGTGCACGCATTGAGCTCAGACGACCGACAGAGATGAATGGCCGAGATTATCTGTTTGTGTTGATAATTGAGGGTTTATGTTGGCTGAGACACTGGGAGGAACTTTGTTTTTTGAATTATTGCTTTTATTCCCACCTGAGTGAGCAGATAGCGCCAGGAATTAACATCTCAATTAAGAGATGTTAGAAGTTACCTGGCAGGATGGCCCGGGGGTACAGGAAAGCATAGGCACTGATGGTACTGCAATACGACACTCATTTTGATGCATTCTACCTGCGTCCTTCCTGTGTGTATCCTGTCAGTGACTAACTGTGCTGGCAATGTCTCAGACATATCACATTCTTGCTTGCAATGGGTAGCAACCACCTTCAACACAGAAGATGAGCTGAATGCCTTGCAGCCCTTGCATACAGGATTAGATCAAGGCAGCTCAGCCAGTAAGAGTTGTAATCCCGTTTCTACATCCATGCCCTGGCCACATACGCAAATCAAATGTTGAAGATAAGTCTCTTACCTGCAGAATGTTGCACGAGGTATTTGTCTGTGGGGTTTCTTCTGATCTGACCTACATTAGCGATCATTGTTGCAGGCACAGACTCTGCAAGCTGACAGTGCAGTGGTTTCACACACAAAGCAGCCCTCCCAGGTGATGACTGACTCAAGATTAAGAAGTGCCCAGGGTTTCATTTCTGTTCTGTACTGGGCTGTATGTTTGCCCAGGGCTCAGCTTCCCAGAGTGGGGCTTGAGACTCCCAAGCGGTATTGTGAGCTGAAGCTTTGGGTTCTTGAGCTTTGACCAACAAAGGCCCAGCACGGTTCTCTGTCCCTACCCAGGTCTCTGACAACTCCTCTCTGCCCACGCCCCTCTCGCCACTGTCTCTGAACAGTTGCCACAATTTTCAGGCCTTGAAATGGGGTTGCATTGGGACGACACTTGGCAAGCACTGACCGAGACAATTAAGGATTATCTGTTGAGTTACAGGCCAACCACAGTCTAATTTAGTAGAGCTCGTGTTCCTACATTGTATAAAGTAAAAAGTACACTGCTCACACTTGGTCATCTGATGATTGAACGTAATGTCCTACATAAGAACATAAGGGCGTAGGAATTAAGATCAGTCATTGGCCATTCAGCCTGCCTCACAATTCCACATGATGACAGAATTGTTATGATATAGAAGGAAGTCATTCGGCCCATCCTCCCTGTACCAGTTCTATGACCTAGGGCCATTTCCCCATATTCCTGATACCACTTCTATCCAAATAATCATCCAGCGCCCTCTTCAGTCCCTCAATTGATCCTCACATTTCCTAGCAGTGCATTCCAGACCCAAACCAATCACATTACCCTTGCTTCTTTTGTGCATCACTTTAAACGAATGCCATCTTGTTCTTTATTCTTCTGATAGTGGGAACAGCTCATGAAAATCTCAATCAAATCTCCTCTTCAAGGAGAAACGCCCCAATCTCTTCAAGCTATTCTCTTAAGTGAAGTTTCTCATGCCAGGAATAATTCTTGGAGTGACATGATATCTGTCCCTACCCTGGTTCTAAGTCCTTTGATTGCTTCTCACACCTGCTAGACTCAGCAATGCTTCAAGTTACCAATTGGTTTTGTAATGCTGGGTTTGTAGCAGCCCTCCAGTGAACAGCTGTCACACGGATGATGGACCAAATGGCCTCTTACTGTGGTGCAAGATTCTTCTAGGCGTAATCAGATAGTAAACAGAAGGAGGAGCCCCGAAGATATTTTTGTCTCTTCCTTGCACTCTGACTCAGGCTCATTGGAATGCTCTTACAGCAACTCAGCCTGTGAACTATTAACTCGACACAAATGGAGATGTATCTGAGTTCCACTGCTGCATTTAAAACGAGGCAGAAGGCAGCGTACCAACCTAGTCATTGGGCAATTTAGTCATTTTACATGAAACTGTTCAGCAAAGCCTGAGACAGCTTTAAACGTGCCATTGCATCATCTTTTGTGATATTCGTTCTGGAGATATGGGCATCGGGAGGCGATGGCCTAGTGGTATTATCGCTGGACTATTAATCCAAAGACCCAGATAATGTTCTGCGGACCCAGGTTCGAATCCCACCACGGCAGATTGTGGAATTTGATTTCAATAAATGTCTGGAATTAAGAGTCTAATGACGATCGTGAATCAATCGTTGATTGTTGGGAAAAACCCATTTGGTTCACTAATGCCCCTTAGGGTCTGGTCTACATGTGACTCCAGATCCACAGCAATGTGGTTGACTCTTAACTGCCCTTTGGGCAATAAATGCTGCGTAGCCAGTGATGCCCACGTCCCGTGAATGAATAAAGGAAAAAAAATCTGGCAAGGTTGGCACTCAGTGCACATTCCTGATCGCCTTTGGGAGGGTGGCAAGGCGCCACCTTCCTGAATCGCTGCAGCCCAGGTGGTGCCAAGCACACCATACTGCTGCTTGGAAGGGAGTTCCCATGAGTTTGACCCAGTGACAGTGAAGGAATGACAAGTATAATCCCGAGTCAAGATGGGAAGCTTGAACTTGGTGATGTTCCCATACACATGCTGCTTTTGTTGCTGAGGTGTTGCTGGCCATGACTTTGGGACCTGGATCATGGCATTTGTCTCCTTACAGAGTTTACAGTCAAGCAAAGGGACTGGATGTAACCAGACTCTCAAAATGACTTCAGTCTTGGACATTGAGGGTGAGGAAATAAACTTAAGGCTCCATTATTTGTGAATGTCATCTGAAGCCTAAGATAAAATTAATCATTCTTAAACATCCTTTTCTTTAAATTCTCGATGCTGTAACCTCACCAAAGCAAAGGGCCAACTTAAAACCTGAGGAAATGGGGCAAAGTGGAACTAATGTAAAAGGTCAGCCATGATTTGTCAATTGGCAGAATAGTCTCCAGGGCGTACTTTTCACTCCTGCCCTTATTTCTAAAGTGTTTGTGCGTATGTTTAATCTTAAATCCAGAATACAATTGACAGAGGTCACAGATTTGATGATAATGGCACTGGGCAATGCAGCTGAGGACAAAATTGTGTGGCTGTAGTGAGTACAAACAGATCGAGACGAGTGATTTTAATTTTTTTCTTAATTCTGTGTGATGTGTTAACAGAAGTCACAAAATGCCTTCACGTGCCAGTTGCACAGGCAGTTCAGCCCTTTGTTGGTACTGTGTAGGTAAAGGTCTGTTGCTGAGAAGTGATGGCATGGACAAAGCATGTGTACCCACGGGTGTGATGTTTAGAATCACACAGGGCTAAATGGGCACTGGGTCTTGAAATTATGCTGCAGGCTGGTAGCAGATACTGATAGAGCACATTCCTCTGAAATCCCTTACTGCAGCCATTTGGTGGGAGCATTAAACCATTTAGGAACAAGGTAAGGCTTTTCTCAAGGCCTTTGAGCTTTTTGCTTCATTCAGTAAACAGTTTATAGAATCATAGTGATGTATAGCATGGAAACAGACCCGTTGGTCCAACTTGTCCATGCCAACTGGATATCCTAAATTAATCTTCAGTACATTAAGTTTCTTTCCCCATCTTTGTTTCATATTTCTTGACCCAACTAATCCCCAATAATTTCAGTTTTGATAGTTCCAATTCTTCAGCATCCATAATCTTTCAGGAGAGTTGCAAATGCCTCTGAGTATGAGCCTGTGTTCCCTTGTCCTGGATTCTGTCACGAGAATTACAGAAGGCCATTCAGCTCATTGTAGTAGTATCCAGTTTCCAAATGAGCAATTCGCTTATTGTTATTCCCCCACTTTCTCCCCATAACCCTGCACATCTTCCCTTTTCAGATCGCAATCTAACTCCATTTCAAATGGTTTAATTGAATCTGCCTCTGCTACACCCTGAGGCAGTGTATTCCAGATCCTGACCGCTCTGTGAAAGAGAGTTTCTCTTCTGCCACTCTTGCTTCTTTTACCAGTTACTTTTGATCTGTGCTCTCTCGTTCTTTATCCCCCTCACCAGTATGAACAATTGCTCCCCATGGACAGTGTCAAACCCACCGTGATTTTGAAGACCTGTGTCACATTTCCGCTCGGCCTCTTTTCTCTGCAGGAAAACTACCCCAAGTTCTCCAATCTATCTCATGCCTCCAACTCCGATCATAAATCTTTTCTACACTCTCTCCAGTGCATTCTCATCCTTTTTAAAAGTGTGACACTGGACACAATTCTGCAGTTGAACCAAACCAGTGTTTCCTGTCCATGTCCACCGTACTCAATCCCTTTGAAATGCTTCAATCAAATTCCACCTCGTTCTTCTGTATTGAAAGGAATACAATCCAGATTTATACATCCTGTTCTCATAATCAAAGAAGAATTATAGAATCTCTCTTGTGTGGAAAAAGGTGATTTGGCCTATTGAGTCTGCACCAAACTTCCAAAGAGCATGCCAGCTCCCCACATCTACCATGACTAATCCACAGAGCCTACACACTATTTCGGGCAATTTATCATGGCCATTCTACCTAACCTGTACATCTTTGGACTGTGGGAGGAAGTCAGAGCCCCTGGAGGAAACCCACACAGACACGGGGAGAATGTGTAAACTCCACACAGACAGTCGCCTGAGGGTGGAATTGAACCTGGCCTACTAGCACTGTGAGGCAGTAGTGCTAACCACAGTGCTACCATGCCACCCATTCAAAACTGTGGTGTTATACCAGTGAACTGCATCCATTTCAAGTCAATATCTCTTTTCTGAGGTGGCCTGCCCAGAACTAATGGATGTACTTCATCTAGGGCCTGGACCGTGAAAGCAAAACTTCAACCCTTTTGTATCCCAGTTTCCTGAAAAGCATACCCAATGTTCAGTTAACCTCAAGTGGCTGATAACTCCTCTAATGCACTTGGCAAAAGAACATGATCCAAATTTATAAGGTCATTGGGATGTATTACGCCTCGGATTTACGCTTACACTTTTAAGGAGAATAAAACTTGAGATCATAAATATATACCAATCACTCATAAATCCAGTTTAAAATTCAGGAGAAGTTAGGTTCACTTGGAAGTCAGGGAGGCCAATGCAATGTTAGCATTCATTTCAAGAGGGCTGGAATACAACAGCAGAGATGCGCTGCTGAAACTGTATAAGGCTCTGGTCAGACAGCATTTGGAATATTGTGAGCAGTTTTGGGCCCTGTATCTAAGGAGGGATGTACTGGCATTGGAGGGGTTCCAGAGAAGCTTTACAAGAATGATCCCAGGGACGAAGGGTTTGTCATACGAGGAGAGTTTGAGGACTCTGGGTCTGTACTTGATGGAATTTAGAAGGATGAGGGGAGGTCTCATTGAAAATTCAGAATATGAGAGGCCTGGATTGAATGGACACAGAGAAGATTTTTTCCCAAAGTAGGAGAGACCAGAACCCAAGGACACAACCTCAGAGTGAAGGGACGACCCTTTAGAACTTCGACTAGAAGGAATTTCTTCAGCCAGAGGGCAGTGAATCTGTGGAACTCATTGCCACAGAAGGTGGTGGAGGCCAAGTCATTCAGGGATAGATAGGCTCTTGCTTAGTAAGAAGGTCAAAAGTTATGGGGAGAAGGCAGGAGAATGAGGTTGAGAAACATGTCAGCCATGACTGAATGGCGGAGCAGACTCGATGGACTGAATGGCCTAATTTTGTTCCAATATCTTACGATCTTATGATCAGTCAGCACCATTTTCTCTTGCAGTACAAATTGTGGTGGTAGTTTGAAACTTAGCATTCTTGTGTTTATCCCAGTGAAAGCAAGTTCAAATACTTCGACAATATGTCTCTCTTTGCAGTATGTTTCAAGCTCTGGATCACATGAGGGAAATTTTAACTTAGCTTTCCAAGCAGGATTCCCACAGGATCAGATGGAGTCCTGCTTTTACGGGTCCACTTCATTTTACTCTCTGTTACTTCCAAGGGTTAAGAAAGACTTACGTTAATACGATGTATTTCCTGCCCATCTGCTTTACAGACAATTAAGTATTTTTTGACAATACGATCATTGGTGTGTTGTAGGAAAATGACAGCTAATCTACATATGTCAAACAAAAATGTGATAATGACTTTCTTATTTTCGCAATGTTTATTGAGATTTAAGTGTTGGCCAGGATTCCCTTGCCGACCATGAAATAGCACTGTGGAATCTTTTAGTTTATTCTGAGAGAGTAGTCAAGGCCTCAGTTTAATGTCTGACTTGAAAGGCTGTGTGCAGAACCTCAGCACTTCGACAGTACCACACTGGGGTGTCAATTTAGAGTAATTGGCTGGGCTGTAAAACCAGCGCTGCATTCAATCCGGTCTGTTGTCTGACTGGTTGATTTAGTTTAAACTACCCCCAAAATTCAACATTTGTCATATTGCATTTGCAGTTTAAATTAGCCTCATTGTCTGTTAATTTGTATTAATTGTATTTTTCAAATTACCTTTCAAATAGTTCTTTGTGTGTCCAGCTGTCTGTGTGTGACTGAGTCTATACTTGTGCACCCTTTATATCAGCACTTTATATATTCACATCCTCACTCCCAAGGATTAAATCAGTTTACCATCCGAGTAGTAGACTGGGGCAGAGAAAGAGAACCTAGTTGTACAGTTTAGGCCCTGATTTGGGACAGAGTCCTGAGACCCTGACTGATTTACAGACTAAGTCCCTGACTTCCGTCATGCATTTACAATAGCAACATGAATGAGTGGCACTAAGGCTGATGGCACATGGTAGACCCGAAACACGTTGAATTTTTGTATTACTGGTCTGAATAGAGTTGCCATCTCTGTCAAGGCACATTACTGAAAATTTGATCACATGATCACCAACACCCCATAATGGTAAAGCCTTTCGACTTGGAATATAGATATACAGGCTATTGGGAATATGAGTTCAAATCCCACCAAGGCTGCTGGTGGAATTTAGATGCTATTAAACAGCAATTCTTAAATTGAATGCTAATCTCAGCAATGTTGACTGTAAACTGGTGTAAAAATCCATCTCATTCGTTAATGTCAACGAGAGAAAGAAATCTGCGGTCCTTAACCTGCCCGGTCTACATGTGGCTGCAACAATGCAGTTGACTGTCGCCTCTCCTCTGTGATAACCCAGCAAGTTGAGCAGTTAGTTCTGGGCAATGAATGTTGACGTCACCACTCAAACCTATGTCCCATCAAAGACATTTAATAAAAAATGGTCACATGACACAATCACTGTCACAGCTTGTGCCTTCCTTTAGGCAATTGGGAAAACAGGTGGAATCCTCAGTGGGAATAGGAGTGAGGGAGTGAAACTGTGTGGGCATGAGGAATATAAACAACAGCATCTCCTCGAAGAGAAATATATGTTGTTCTGTTTCTGTCATTTTTATTTTCTTTATATTTATGTGTTCAATCCTCTTTCGCCCCAAAAGTAGAATCAGCCATTGCCTGGAAACAGGAAATGCAGGTAGAAACTCAGCAATGAAACCACATTAAAAGACACAGTGCTCATTGAAGCAATTGGAAAATGTAGAATAATTTTGAGCCCTCTGCTAATTGCTGCAATAGTCTTGCAGCGTCACTTTGCAGGTCCCTAGATAAGTACCAACTTGCATTGATTTCAATCAACTCCTCACCACATGGGAGCGTAGATGTTGCTCATCAGTCAAGATGTAGTGTTTTAAATTCAGTTCATTTCAGGGGTGTAATTGGAGTCTGGCTGTGCATTGTATTTATAAATGTTTAGCGCCTGGGATGCACTTTCCTGGGAAGATGATGAGTCTGGAGTGGTCCAATCATGCATTCAAGTTGGGCTAAGGAGGGATCACCAATCAGCCTTTCCGCTCCTGATTATTGTCCATTGACTTTTCTCTCCCTTGCTCCCTCCCCTCAAAGTAATTTGCCTCAATGAACCCCAGGTAGCGAGGCAACACTAAGGTATTGAGTGCCTCTCCTACTCACCTATTGCATTGGTCAACCAGTCGAGGAGACAGGGAGGATGCAGAGGGGGTGGGGGTTGGGGCGGGCGTGCAGAAACAGTTTTAAAATGAAAATAAAATATCCAGGACAGGAGGGGTGGGAGAGAATAGCATCTGTTTTCAACTGAAGGTAATTCTCACTTGCTCAGTGGACAGTTTTGTTTCTGTTCTTTCCTTTGCCGCCAATCACTAATTGACCTTTGGAATGAATGGCTCGTTTAGCCATTTCAGAAGTGGGTCAGTTAAGTGTCAGCCCAACATTGCTGTACACCTGGAGTCACATGTAGGCCCAGGCCAGGCATGGATGGCAGATTTCCATTGGACGTTGAGGAAGCAGATGGGTTTTGAAACATGATGGTCACAACTGAGACACATTGACAACTCCAGGCTTACACAATGCGACATTGGGATTTGAACCCATGTCTCCAGAAAATTAGCCAGGGTTTCAGCATTACTAATACTCTTGTTTACATAACACTACTGTTTACCCAAGTGTTATATTTACCTAAGGGGGAATGGCAAAGGAGGTAAGCTTCACAATATCAATTCAGGGTTAGTTAGGTTGTTTGAGGGATGCATGGTGAATGATTTGTGTGTGCATCTGATCCCGGCAAGCCTTTAATCTGATGCCATCACCTCCAGTGCAAGAAGGGCAGTGGGAATGAAGGGATGGCCTCAGCGAGCAGTTTGAAAACCCACAGGCTTGCGAAAAACAAATTGCCTTCCTGAATATTTAATGCTGGCGTAATGGAATTGCATTTTACTTTGGCAGAGCTCTCTGGGTCTGCCAGGCATCCAGGCTGCACTGTGATCACTCTGTTCCCCATCGAACATGGATCTTGACTGTGGCAAAGAGAAAGGTCACACAGGCAGCTTTTGTTAATGACTGACTTGGCTGTGATATACTGAGAAAGTGGTTGCTGGCTGAATGGAAGGGTTTAATACCAACACAGAAGCTCCACTTGGAGTTGGGACCTCGTTTGGTTTCAGGGAGTGGGGATGCGGTTGGCTGTGGGTGAGGGGTGGGGAATGGGAGAAGGGAATGTACTTTTCACAGCAATCCCCTTCTTCTCTCTCTCTCCTGGACGTTCCTGGCAGCGAACAGCAGTATCAGCTTGTGCCTTGCGCAGTGCCCAGTTAACCCCAGAGTCTGTGGGACTAAGCTTGACTCTTGTGCGTTTTGCTTGTGAGTGCAGGAGGGTGCGCGTGTGAGCTTGAGCGAGTGTGTATATTTGTGTGTGTGTGTGTGTGTGTGAGAGATGGTGAGTGTGCCAGCGTGCATGAGCACATGCGTGTGTGCAGGCCTGCGAGTGTGCGTATCAACGTGCGTACGTGAGTTGCATGTGTGTGTGAGTGAGTCAGTGTGTGCGCGTGGGCAAACGCGTGAATGTGTGTGTGGGTTGCACGTGTGCCTGAGTTGAGTGCGCACGTGTGTGCATGTGTGAGCATGTGCATGTATGCACATGTGCCTGAGTGAGTGTGCACATGTGTGCGCGCGTGAGTATGCATGTGTGAGATTCTGCAGGAGCTTCGACCATTGCTGGTAGCCAGTGAAAAGCTAACCTGGATTAATCCACTAACTGCATGTTGGATAATGACCTGAGACGCAAGGGGAACAAGCACATGGTTTGACTTCATGCACCAGAATTAGTCGCATCTGATGGGCATTTTTCTGTGCTTCTTGCATAGCAGCGAATGTCTGACAGGTGCGACCTTTCATGAGACAGTCAAAATGATTGGCTCTCTGCCCAGAATATTGCTGCAACACTCTCCTTGATTGGTTGTCTCCCTGTCATGCATTGCTTCACAAAGGTTCAAACTGCCTTTTTTTCCCCAAAGTAATGTACAATGGCTGGCTGTATCATGCTGCACTGTAAGTATTTTTGTAAACGCAGGTAGACTGTTGCCTTTGCATGTTACTTCCAGCTTGACGCAGGAAGATTTATTTTTTAATTTCCTGATCATTTCTTTTGTTTTTTTTAATTGGGATGGGAGTTAAATGCTGGTTGGTAAAATGTTGATGTATCTGTTTCTCCTACAGGTTGGTACTGAGAAGTGCCTTTCCTGGAATCTCTGCTGCTTCGAAAAGCTTCTAGAGCAGTCTCTGCTTTATTGTCTTGCTTGCTGCCAGCTAGGACTGCAACAACTGCACATCCAAACCCTTCGGCTTTAGTACAATCACCCATTTCCCCCCCCTTCTTCCCCCCCAGACCCCCTCCCTCCTCTTCCCCCTTGCCCAGCCCCTCCCTTTCATTCCCACCTAGGTCTGAAAGAGAGAGAGAGAAAGAGAGTGAGGGAGAGAGGGAGAGAGAAAGAGAGAAAGAAAGAACAAACTTTTCGCAGTATATCAGCCTGGCATTGCTCTCTTGCTATTTCACTGTATCGAACAGAGAATTTTCACATAAACAAAAAAAAACAACTCTACCGAAACACTTACCTTCTGCCTGAAACAACCGAGGGGATTAAAACAAAAAACAAAGTCTGATCCCGGAAGGTCTGATCATTTTAAATTGCTGCAATCAGCTGGGCAGAGTTGATCGATATTGATTGCCATATCAGCGAGCTGGATGTTACCTCTCGAATAACTGGCACTGTGCAACAACTGGGATCCTCACTGAGAGCTAAGCCTTGACCCATCTCCAAGCTTCAAAACAGGCCTCAGATTGGGAACACGTTATGGGTCACTGAGAGTGCAATTGCCCTGCATCTGACGAACAATTCCATACCAATGATAGCACTGTTACTTTTGCAACCAAAATAGAGAGAAAAAAAAACAGAAGAAAAGCCTTTATTCTTTCTGAAATTCTTTTTTCTAAAAAAAAAGAATCTTCGCCAATCTAATGCCAGGGGTTTTCTCTGAAAGGAAACTTCCTTGCGGTGATCTTTCTGTCGAGAAAGCCTTTAATACGCTCAAAACGAGAAAAAAACAAAGGTTATCTTTTATCCCCCCCAAAAATCGTCAAGTTTTTCTTTAACCGACGTTCTGCAATCAACGTGTTTGTCTCTACACTGTTCCGGACTATCTCGCCTGCCTGTTAACTCACAAACATGGCCGTTAGTGTGGCACAGATACGGGACACAAAATGGCTGACATTGGAAGTGTGCAGAGAATTTCAAAGAGGCACTTGCTCACGACCAGACACAGAATGTAAATTTGCACACCCTTCTAAAAGTTGCCAAGTTGAAAATGGACGAGTAATTGCCTGCTTTGATTCACTGAAAGTAAGTACAGAAATGAACTACACGCGGGTGTGTTTTACTGTCAATTGCTGGGCCGAAATACTGTGTGCGCGCGTACGTGTGTGTGTGTGTGTGTGTACGTGTTTGTGTGTGTGCGCATGTGTGTATGTGTGTGTGTGTACGTGCACACACGCGTGCGATGTTTTGTACTCCATTCAAGTGATGATGATGGACTGCCCAGTGTGCGAGAACGGTGAAGAGAGGGTGAAAAAAGTAACATGGTAACTAAGTGTTGATTTCAGCTACACTAGTCACTGTTTATGTTATTACTTTACGGAGTAAGATCTTCACACTGATGTCAGTGCAACAATTGCAAGGGATGAGAAAGCAGCTTGTAAGTTAACTAGATATTAGTGATGCCTACTGTGGTGCGTGTGTTCATTGAAGTGTGTCGTGTTCCTTGAAAAATATGTACGCTTGCCTGTGAATAATTTTCTAGCCTATGGGTGATGACTTTGCTTTCTACTGTCACGTCTGAGCCCCACACTGGTTTCCAGGGAGCAGAATCAAGAGGTTTGTGTTCGGGACTGGTGCTAGTCAGAGCAGTCCGTGGAGAAGAATGGTGGCAGTCAATGTGCCTCAGAGTTCAAGTTCCCCAATGAATATAGCCTGTGTAATTTGCTGCCTATTTTTAGACCTGCTACTCTGATGGAGCAAAGACTTTGTTTAAGGTGGGAAGGTTGGTGGGGTTTGTGGAACGATATCCTGAAATGAAATGGCTTGACCATTATTTCAGCTGCTTAGTCATAGATTGCAACAGGCCAGGCAGTTACTCCAGATAAGGGGACTAATGTGTTTTTTGGATAACAGAGGACGCAAAAAGGACTTGACCAAACCTGCCTGATAAGTGAAGCCGGGTCCTGAGACAGAGCAATACTCAGGCTTTCCTGAGGCCTACACCCAAGGCCTGTGGACACGTGTTCACTGTCAACTGTTCTTCATTGTTCACAAACTCAACACACAAAGGCATTGTTATTCACATGTCGTTGTTGTGATGGTGACAAAATTGCTCTTCTTCCTCCCTCCAAATACAATTAATTGCACTGCCATTTTAATTCTTCCCCTCAGTGTCTAGTGAAATTAATGCTTAACCAAGAAAGAAGCTCCACTATCCACGACACACAGCTTTACTCGCTTGACTCGGTGGAATGATAATTTTAGAGTCAGTTGAGTGAAACAGATAGCCAGCATGAGATGGTTGTAGCTGAAGTGGTTATAAGTGACTTTTGGGAGAGATTTCTCGCGCAGTTTGGAGGTCGGAGTGTGAGCTTCAGTCCTTCTTGACATCGTATTTTGTGAAGTTGATGGAAAGGTTTGAAAAGGAGACTCATTACACACACACACACACACACACACACACACACACACAAATTGGCTGCCTGTCCTTGTACTGACTGGCCTTCTGATGTTGATTGGAGCGTGAACAAACTCTTCATTACTTTGGACAGTGGGATAGAGACAAGGTTTGGGCATGAAAATAATAAAGATGCTGCTATGTTGTTGGAACTAGGTTGATAATGTGAATGGTTTCCATTGAGTTATGATATAAGATCAGAGCTATTTGAGCCATAGAAGGAAGCGACTGAGAGGACTTCATGGAATTGTATAAAGACAAGAAAGACAAATGCAGAACCACTTCAGAGTAGGCAATTGATGGTTGTGGAATCAAGACAGTTTGAATAATCCGAATGGATTGTTGATGTGAATATGAGCTATAATAAGGGTAGACAAGGACCTGGTTTAACATCACACCTCTGACAATGAAACGTTGCCTCAGTGCTGAACTGGAGTGTCGGTCCGGAGGCACAAAGGGTTGATATCTGGAAACTTTACACCCAGGAGAATATCTGTTTGGTGGTCGAATAAAGAACAAAGCCTAGAATCATTCAAGAAGCAGTAAGATTTTCTCGACATGTCAATTAGGATTGGCCAATTGACCTTTCTCATCTAAATCCATTTCGTGATTGTGAGCTGTGCACACTGTGCTTTGAACCTTAAAAGCTTCCAACGAAATAAAGTTAGGAATTCTCCGATCATAAAGAGCAGCTATTCCCTGGGTATAAAATGATCTTTTATAGGAAACTGAATAGCGTAGAGGTGATCATATCATCATACATAGCATAGCTGTGACTGGGCACAGGCTCATGTTTGACCCCCTATATGGAAGAGTCTGTATGAGCCTCCGGAACTGGGCTTGAGTTCTAAAGGGCGTAGGACTTTGGCTGTCCATGAGCGATGAAAAATCATTGCCTTTTTTTGATACCATTGGTGAGGCCGCATTTGGAGTGCTACGTACAATTCTGGTCATCCTGCTATAGGAAAGATGCTATTAAACTGGAAAGGGTGCAAAAATGATTTACAAGGATGTAACCGAGACGGGAGGGTTTGAGTTAATCAGGAGAGGCTGGATAGACTGAGACGTCTTTCCCTGGAGCATCAGAGGCCGAGGGGTGACCTTACAGAGGCTTATAAATTCATGAGGGGCATGAATAGTCAAGATCTTTTCCCCTGGGTAGGGGAGTCCAAAACGAGAGGCATACGTTTCGGGTGAGAGGGGAAAGATTTGAAAGGGACCTGAGGGGCAATTTTTTCACACGGAGGGTGGTCCGTATATAGACAAGCTACCAGGGGAAGTGGGAGTACAATTACAATATGTAAAAGATATCTGGGCAGATACATGAGTAGGAAATGCTTAGAGGGATACGGGCCAAACACAGGCATGTGGGACTAGTTCAGTTTAGGAAACCGGGTTGAAATGGATGAGCTGGGCCAAAGGGTCTGTTTCAGTGCTGTATGACTCTCAGTCTACCTCCAATATCAGTGGCCAACAAGCTCAGGCTTTGTGAAGTGTCACCTTGGCTACAGTTTCCTTGCAGACACTAATTCTGGGGGATGGACAAAACTTCATATAGGAAAGACTGCCAACTCAGGTTGGATGTATTCCTTGACGCTTTATTATGTGTCTGCCTTATAGGGTGGCACAGTTGCTCTGTGGTTAGCACTGCTACCTCACAATGCCAGTGACCCAAGGGCAACCCACAGTCCAAAGACATACAGATTAATTGGCTTGGCCATGCTAAATTGGCCATAGTGTCAGGCTAGGTGGATTAGCCATGGGAAATGCAGGGTTATGGGGATAGGATAGGGCGTGTAGGTCTGGGTGGGATGTTGTTTAGAGGGGCCAAGTGGCCTGGCTTCCACACTGTTAGGGATTCTGTGATTCCAAACAGCTTCCCACTGAGCATCTCTCCCCTGAACCTCCTGCCATTGTGTGTCCTATACGTCTCTCTGCAGTAATTTCTAATCAATACTCAAAGGAAACCAAAAGACTCATCTTTCAAATTTGAGTGAACTAAGAATTTTAAGTTGCTAAGATGGACTAGAAAATTGATGCCCAATCCCAACTCCAGGGCTTTGCAGGAATCTGTTGGGGCTTAGGAAAAGGAAAAAGTCAATGTTCTTTGCAAAAATTATAGCTGAGTTGATAAAATTGAGGCAACATATGTCACCTCTTAGAGCCTCGTATACCACCTAATACATGAGAAAGACACGTGGTTGGCGTTCACTCAGTATTCAAGGTCTTCCAGTGCAGTGTCTATAAATTCCACTGCCACATATTTGCACTTATTGAACCTCCAGACTGTCTTTGGTATTTTCAATGAGTCAGTCTTTCAATGAGTCACTTAAAAAGGGATTAGTGAGGAGAAGATGGATCTGTCACACTCTATATCCACATCCTCCTTTATGTCCAACTTTTAAGAGGAATTATGAGAGAGTGGTGTTGAATAAATTCAGGTCTTTTATTCCTTACTTATCACCCAAAATTTTTTTGGATAGAAAACCATTTGAAAAAAGTCTTTAAAATTATTCATATTAGCTGTGTAAAGAGGACTGCTTTTTTTTTGTTCCCTTCATTAAATAAGTTTGCCTGTTTTCGGTGCTAATATTTTTCTCTGGACAAACCCCCTGCATTTGTCCAAAATAGGGCAAAGGAGCCACAGTGGGGATGAGGAGTGTTTTTTTTTAAATGCAGTAAGTTGTTGTTTTCTCAAATGCAGTGCCTGAATGAAGCAAATTCAATAATAATTTTCCAAAGGGAATTCAATTTTTGAGGGATATAAGATCGCATGGTTAAGAGGAAATGGAAGAAGAGTAGAGGACGAACTGCAGTGGTTCTCATCAAGGCCTATGTACTAGGCCAAGCATCCTCTGTGTGTGCTGTAAGATTCTCAGATTCTATATTTTAATATGAAGTCCTAATCTTTCATTTGAAATGTTTCACTCTTGTCTTCCCCCGAATGAGACTGAATTTTGCATGAATTTCAAATCCCGTGACAGCAGAAACAAGGACTTATATTTATTAAACACTTCTCTCTTGTAATGGTCATGAATGCTCCATTTTTTCAGAAAGTTAATTCAGTTTAAGGATGCGGGCATCACTGTCTAAGCCAGCTCTTATTGCCCATTCTAATTGCCCTGGACAAGCTGGTGGCAAACTGCCTTATGGAACTGCTGAAGTCCTTGGGGTTTAGGGAAACACACAATGTTGTTAGGAAGGGAATTCCAGGATTTTGGCAGTGGCAGTGAAGAAATGCTGATGCATTTCCAAGTCGAGGTGACATTGCACTCGGAGGGGAACTTGAAGACGATGATATCCCAAGGATCTGCTATCCTTGTCCTTTATGCACATGGTTCTGTTTTCAAGTGGAGAGACTGTAGTGGTGTGCTTCAGGATGTAGCTTAGTGGGTAAAACTTGGTTATTGGTAAAATCCTGCTCCAGAGATTTCAGTGTGAAATCTTGATTTCGACACGTCACTGTTCTCGAGAGCGTCCTGTACTTAGTTGGACTGGCCATGCTAAATTGCCCATCGTGTCCAGGGATGCGCAGGCTAGGTAGGTTAGCCATGAGAAATGCAGGGTTACTTGGATAAGGTAGGTTTGAGTGGGATGCTCTTGGGAGGGGCAATGTGATTCGATGGGCCAAATGGCCTGCTTCCACTCTGTAGGGATTCTATGAAATACTGCCACTGCTAGACGCCTCAGTGAGCACCACTATTTTAAAATGAACCCTTTAGGCACTGGCTTTCACTCACATTAGATTGAAAGAAGCCATCATGAGCTCTGGACTGAGCATCTCGATTCAGATCGATTGACTGAGGCCTGCATTGACAGGCCTGCTCGCTGTGATTGGAAGTAGAGTACTTTCCATGGCTGGAATTTAAGTCCTCATTTTTGCCAAAACCAAGTCCCAGAATGTGCCATTATTGTCATAAAAACGTGACTGCATGATTTTCTTCAGTTAGGGCCAAAAGGTTCTGCAACTGTACTCCATGAGTTGGTGTGACCCTTGCTTTCAGTGATGGCCGTAATGTTTCTTGACATTTGCGGTATACTCGAATGTATTTTGAATACTTTGCACGACTGTAAGGTTACATGTTGCAGCTGTAGCGTACAGCCACTCTGTGGTTTAACAGTCAGCCAAGCATTTATTCCCTCATTTCTGTTTTACCCATTGCTGCAGATTGAGATGTATATGCAGGGCAACCTGTCACTTTCCTCACGCCTACAATTATAAATGGTGACATTTTCAGGTGAGCATTCATTCAAATGGAAGTCGTGGCGCTTTACAATGAGGGCTTGTCTTTATTCTGCTGGCCTCCTCTATGTTTTTATGACATTCCATTTATTGTAATCAGAAACAGATTTGTTCAACAAATGGCTTGCAGAGGCTGGGCAGAAAGCATAGGCCTTTTCCCTGGCAACCATGGCCAGGAAGTTACGATCGTACGATTGCGGGAAATGAGTAGACTCACTCAGGCAGTAAAACACATTCTTGGCATCCACTATAACCTTCTGTGGATAAAGTAGAGCCAACTCCTTCATTTCTACCCTCATGATGATCTGGAATGAAATTCGGATTTTTTTTCAGTAGTTAGGAAGGTCGGTTTAAAGCCTAAAAATCTGATTTGTTGACAACAACTTACATTTATGCAGATCCTTTATGGTTGTAAAACACCCAAATAACTCTTCACAAGAAGGTGATACTGAATCACAAGAGGAGACATTAGAATAAACAACCAAAAGCTAAAGAGAGAGGTTTAACTGCCCTATAGGAGGAGGGCAATGGAATTTAAGGAGTGAATTCTAGACCGTTCTTCAGACAGTGGAAAAAATGGCTGCCAGTGTTGGAAGAATTCAAATCAGGGGTGCATTGGGACCAGAATTAGATTTATATTTAACTGTCACATATACTCAAGTACAAAAGAGAATTTTTAAATCTTGCCAATGTAGACTAAGGAGCAGAGGGACAGTGGGTCAACGGGACACCCAGGGAGATTGAATTATTGTTATAACTCCCCCATTTTATTTGCATTTTGGATTTGGCATCATGACACTATGCAGGGACCAGAGATTTGGGTGGAGACTGTTGAAATGTTCCCTTTGGTTGTTGGGATCTGAGTTTTTAATCTGAGGTAAACATGTGTATAGACTGTCTAAACACATAGAGGAAATATGGATGTGAAAAGACAGTGAGGCCCATTTGGCCTATTCCATCCATGAATATTCCAAAACATCGCAGTTGCTCCCATTTGTCAGTAGACACCAGGACATTGATTTGACAGTTGTGTTAGCCACAGTAGAGGAGGGAATTTTGGACAAAAGGCTCGTGGCACCTTGGTCATTACTGATTCCAAAGGAAGATCAATTAGGACTTGATTATTTTTTTCTTTTTTCTTTCATTGAATGTGGGCATCACTGGTAATTTTGTTGACCATACCTAATTGGCATTAAACTTCCCCTTCACTGGCCTGCTAGGCCATTTCAGAGGACAATGAAGAGTCAGCCATACTACTGTGGACCTGGAGTCACATGATAATACTTTGAAAAAATTCTTACGTTTGTATTACTTGCAATACCCTGCACCCAATACAAAGAAAAAAGAACAGTAGAACACAGTACAGGCCCTTCGGCCCACCAAGCCTGCACCAACACATGACGCCTTGCTAAACTTAAAGACCTTGTGCCTCCCCGTGGTCTGTATCCCTCTATTCCCTGCCTCTTCATGTGGCTGTCAAGATGCCTCTTAAACGTTGCTATTGTATCTGCCTCCACCACCTCCTCTGGCAGTGCATTCTAGCCATTTACCACCCTCTGTGTGAAAAAAACTTGCCTCTCATATTCCCTTTAAACTTTCCCTGTTATACTTTAAACCTATGCCCCCTACTAATTGACATTTTTACCCTGGGAAAAAGGCTCCAACTATCCATTCTATCATGCCTCTCATAATTCTGTGAATCTCCAACAGGCCGCCCTTCACCCTTTGATATTCAATTGAAAACACATCAAGTTTGTCCAATCTCTCCTCCGTAGGTAACACCCTGCAAACCAGGCAACATCATGGTAAACCCTTTCTGTAGCCTCTCCAAAGCCTCCATGTTCTTCTGGTGGTGTGGCGACCAGGACTGTACATAGTATTCCAAATGTCGCCTGACTAAAGTTCTATACAGCTGCAGCATGACTTGCTACTTTTTACAATCTGTACCCTGACCAATGAAGGCAGGCTTGCCAAATACCTTCTTGACCACCATATTCACTTGGGTTGTCACTTTCAGGAAAGTGTGGACCTGTATGCCTTGATCTTTTAAGGGTTCTTTTCTATCGAACATCAATCTATTTGATTCATAATTCTGGCATTTTTGATGGTTTATTTTTGAGCTGTGGGTAGTGCAGACAAGACAGTATTTGCCTTACTATTCTGAAGGGTATTAAGATTAATCATAGCGTGTGGAGCTGTAATCACATGTTTATCAGAGAAAGAGAACAACTTAAAACTCCCATCCCTCAAGGCCATTAGTGCGCCAGGTGAGTCTGTACAACAATCTATTTTTCGTCACTGTCTTTTCCCCTAGAGCTGACTCAAAGTCACTAACTTTATTAAATGCAGTGTCGCAAAGATCTGCATTGAGTTTGGAATCCAGTGACACAGCCAGAACCTGAGCTAACCACCAGCTCAGCTCCCTTCCCTGAGATAGTCTCAATCTGTGGGATTTTGTTGTACTCTGACCAACCTCAAGGCTTCCATCCTGATGAAAGGTCACCGGGCTCAAAACGTTAACTCTGCTTTCTTCCCTCAGATGCTGCCAGACCTGTTGAGTTTCGCCAGCAATTTCCGTTTCTGTTTCAGATCTCCAATGTCTGCAGTTCTTTGTTTTGTTTCCGAACACTCATGTTTTGCGCCAGTAGCTCTGTTGATACAATGGGCAGAAGGATTGGTAAATTACAAACAAAATTAAAGTTTCTCTTTCTCCAAAGTATGACTTGTTGCTATTCAGCCACTTCTGCTCGTCAGACCTTGACACTGCTCTGCTAAGGATTCGCAGTGGTGTTACACAAGGAGCATTGAAGATTAAAGGCAATTAAATTGATCTGTAGTGGTGAATTACAATTGAATGACCATAAGATGTAGGAGCATAGATTCACAGAATCCCTACAGTGTAGAAACAGGCCATTCAGCCCAACAAGTCCACACCACCCCTCTGAAGAGCATCCCACCCAGACCCATTCCTCTACCCCTACATTTCCCTTGTCTAAACCACCTACCCTAAACATCCCTGAACACTATGGGCAATTTAACATGTGCCAATCCACCTACCCTGCATATCTTTGGACTGTGGGAGGAAACTGGAGCACCCGAAGGAAACCCACACAGACACGGAGAGAATGTGCAAACTCCACACAGACAGTCACCTGAGGGTGGAATCCTAGCGCTGTGAGGCAGCAATGCTAACCACTGAGCCACCGTGCTACCCCAACCAAAGTGGAGAATGTGGGCAGAGTTGGCTATTCAGCCAAAGGTGTCTGCTGCACCATTTAATGAGATCGTGGTTGATCTGATCATTCTCAACTCCATTTTCCTGCCTTATAGCCATGACCTTTGATTCCTTTCCTGAATAAAACTCTGTCCATCTCAACCTTGAATATAGATAATGACCCAGCCTCAGTGACCCTCTGGTAAAGAATTCCACAGATTCAGTATCTCCTGGAGAAAAAAGAATCCTCAGCTCTGTCCTAACTGGGCGACCGCTTATTCTGCGATTATGGCACCTGGTGTTAGACTCTCCCACAAGGGGAAACAAGCTCTTTGCATCTACCCTGTCAAGTCCCCTAAGAATCTTGTATTTTTCAATAAGGTTGCCTCTCATTCTCCGAAGTAATTGATAAGGCAGATAGTGCCAAACTATTTCTTTTTTGAGGAATTCAAGAAGAACTGGTGTAACCTTAAAACAAGGGCTAGGCCATTCAGGGTTTGATGGTAGAAAACAGTTCTTTACACAAGGGTTGGGGCAAATTAGGAACTCTCTCTCCCTAAATTCTTCCCAGTTGGAGGTCAGTTGAAAGTTTCCAAACTTCAGATGAGGGTGGCATCGTGATAACGTCACATGACTAGTGATCCAGACATTCAGGATACAACTCTGGGGATATGCATTCAAACCACCTGGCAATTGCTGGTGGAATTTAAATTCAACCAATTTTTTTTTTAAGCAAGTGTCTGCAATGAAAGCTAGTCTTGGGAATGGTGCCACAAACTAATACTGATTGTCATCAGAAACCCATCTGGCTCATTCATGTCCTTCAGGAGAAGAAATGTACTGTCAGTTTGTGGTCTGGCCTACATGTGTCTCCAGACCCATCTCCATGCCTTCTAAGGCAGCAGCAAGCTGCATTTTGTAGCCAGCAGATGCCAGCCTTACCAGTGATGCACATAGACCATAAAAAATTAAATGAATAAGTTTTTGTTTGTCAAGGGTATTAAGTGTGACAAACTCCATGTTGGTTCGACAGAATTAAGATACACGTCCACAATAGTCATAGAGTCGTACAGCACGGAAACAGGCCTTTCAGCCCAACTTGTCCATGCGGACCGGGTTTCCTAAACTGAGCTGGACACACTTGCCTGTGTTTGGCCCACATCCCTCTAAATCTTTCCCATCCAAATGTCTTTGAAATGTTGTATTTGTACCTGCCTCTACCACTCTGTCTGGCAGCTCATTCCCTATATGTTCCACCCACTGTGTGAAAAGATTGCTCCTTTGGTCCCTTTTAAGTCAATCATCTAATTGAATGATGAAACAGACTTGAGGGGCTTCTCTGTTGTCTGCCAATTTTAGCAATTGTGATGACTTATTTTACACATGGAAGATTTGTTGAAACTATCTTTGCTATTTTTTTCCTTTTCTGCTTCCCTTTTTTCAGCAGCTAACTCATGTTTGTGTATGGCCATATGGATAGTAACTTTTCTTGAAGTCTTCAGCCAAGATTCCTACTCCTACTTACTATCCAGTAACTATGACTTTCCGGATTAAGTCAATGCCTTAAGGAGGGGGGGGTGGTGAAAATGCTGGAATAACACATGATCATCAGAATAAAATAGCAAAACACACACGAGTTGGCAACATTGGGAAGATATTGTATTGGGCTTTGAAGCGTTGATTTATTCAATGCATTTCTGTGAAAGTAAACTACAGTTATTTTTGACTCCCCAGTCTCTGTTCTCCTCAGTTTTTCCAACTATGATCAAAAGGAACTTAACAAATCTTTATCACCCCCTCCACCCATTAAAATCTTGAAGATATCCGCTTGGGTTGCTCCGTCTTTGTACCTCTGCTGCCAAGGCCATGAGTGGCATGGTGGCACAGCACCAGTGACCTGGGTTTGATTCCAGCCTTGGGTGACTGTCTACATGGGTTTCCTCTGGATGTTCCGGTTTTCTCCCACGGTTAAGTGGATTAACCATGCTATAAGTTGCCCTGTAATGTCCAGGGAGGTGTAGGCTATGTGGAATGGCCGTGGGGACCATGGGTTATGAGGATAGAGTGGGATGCGCTTCGGAGGGCCAGTGCAAACTTGATGGGCCAAATGGCCTCTATCTACACTAGGGATTCTATGATAAACTCTGAAGTTATTATCCTAAACTTCTCCCTGCCCCTACTGCTTTCTAGCCCTCAAAGACATTCCTTAAAATCTTTCTGATTCTGACCAAGCTTTTGTTCACCTGGTCTAATGACTCACCCTGCCTCCATCCTTGGCTTGGTGCAAATTTATTTTTGTCTGATAGCATTCCTTTGAGCCATTTCGGATGTTTTGCAATTTTGAAGATGCTCTTTAAGAGCAAGTTGCTTGTTGTTGAGCTCACCATGGAATATTAGTTCAGTGATAGCTTACCCTCTGGTTACTTTCTCCCATTTACACACAAGAAAAATTGTCAAGTAGCTTTCTAACCCACAATTTCTCAGTCTTGTCAGATTGCAAATGTATCTTCAGTCCTCGCGACCCCTCCCTTATCAATTTATAGAAACACTGAAACCATCCTGTCCTTTGAAACAAGAAATGCTGGAAGCTATGATATAAACGACCTGCTAGTTCGACTTGCTCAGAGAATCTGAAATTCAAATTTGACTGAGTGGCTAACACTTCGCTCTGCTTAGACAACAAATTTAAAATATAAATAAAATCAGGAAAGTACTAGATATTTCTGGCACCTGTATATTTGAAAATAACCTTCCATGAAGTGTGATATCTCACATTTAAGTTTCCCATCTCCAACAAATGAAGACAAAGAAAGAAAATTATTTATTTCCTGCAAGTTTTTCCCAAGTTTTGTAACTTAGCTTCACGATAAGAGAAGGAGCGGTGGGATTTCAGAGAAGCAGCTTCTGTCAACAATTCCTCTTGAATTGTCCCCAGGGTTTATTTACTTGTGCGATTTGCCCCTCAAACTGTCCCTGTCGCCAAAGCAACCAGTTGGGTGTTGGGCTTGATGATGGCCCTTCCTTCAGCATGACCCTCCCTTGTTATGAACCCTCTTCTTGGAAGCTGCAGACACCCATCCGAGATAAGAACTAAGAACGAGAGCGATTCCCGAACCTTCTGTGCCACAGTGCTGCAATGAGAGCCTCGACTCTCTATCATTCCACCAACGCAAAATCTGGTCTCACTTCCAATAAAACAAAGGGTGGTGGGGTTGGAAAATTGTTTCTACTTGCGGCCAGGAATAACAACCTAAATCGATCACATGGCTCAGTCATATAACCTTTGATCTTTCCAAGATTGGATCTGGGGCAACAGTGTTCTTCAGTGAGTTAACATAAAACTATTTGGTTTCAGCGTGAGCCAATAAATTGCAAAAGTAAAACTTTGCACCAGTTAATGCAACAGATAATAATACTCTGGATATACCAATTTATGGTCTGACTATGAGTAGATGGGAAAGGTTATGAATTACATTTTCTGCGGAGGCCTTATCATTCTTGGCAATGAAGGATTAATGATGCCAGTCTGACGCCCCCATGCCAATCCATCCAGAACTTTTGACTGTCTTGGGCAACTGATGGTGCCGAACAGCAACTTGCGGTTCTGTAAAACAACAACTTGGTCACGTAAGAGACATGCAAATTCTTCAGATGCCTTCATCCCCCTAAGAGCGTAGATGGTGCACGATCAGAAAACAAGATACCATTACATTTTGAATTGTTGATCCTTGTAAAATGCAAGTCTGAATTCACAATGCGACGAAATAAGCATTTTTTTTAGAAAAAGAAAATTATGAACGGATACAATATCCTAATTTGAGCACATGTTTTGTTTTTATTCCCTGATGGAAAGTCACCAAATACCCAACATGGCAACCCCTCTGGAAGTGATTCACAGCAGACACACATGCATTTCTGAGCTGCAAATATGGTAAAGTATGTAATCCAGGCAAAGATATTTCCTTAAGAAGAATTTGCAATGAAAAACACTCAGTTATCTGGAATGAAGACAGTAGAGAATTTTGCAATGTTTTCCCCATGTAATCAGCAATTTGTTCATGTAAAGTCACATTTACTTAAAGGGAATATTTCCATAACATGGTTCTATACCTATTCTTCAGTGTTAATTGAACACCATTTAAAAGGCTCTGACATCTTTCGCTACATCTGGAATCAGCTAGATTAGAGATCTTATGTCTAGACATCTCTCTTAGAGATAACGAAATAAAATTTGACGACCACTTTGGAAAAACCTTTCTGTGTATGGAGTCAACCTTAGTCGATTATCCTACAAAGGCTGCACATCTGAAGTATAGGAACCATCTAATTCAGTCAAATAAAAAGAGATAGGGTGTGAAAAGCTTCAAACAATTTGAATTGTGAACATGAAAAAGAGAATTTGGGATTCACTCAAGGTGGTTCCTTATAGATCTCTCATCAGGATCTCCGGTCAGGAATGTCATTTTGACTTTCACTTCCATTGGCTGTAGGTCTCAACAGGTATTCACCAATTTTGACTGAAATTGAGGCTTGGCTCCAAAAACCCTCCTCCTACAGCACCCCCCAGTGGTGGGATGTTAAGGGAATTAAAAACGAAAGCTGAACTTGACTTCGCCTGACATCATGTGGATGCATTTTCCAGCAGGGAAGTGAACAGGAGACTGAAAGCGAACTACAGCATATGATGGAAATCTGAAATTATAAAAGAGAAAGTGCTGGAGAAACTCAGCAAGGTCTGAAAGCATCTGTGGAGAGAGAGAGAGGCGGAGTTAAAGTTTTTGAGTCCGATATGGCTCTTCTTCAGTTTAACTCTGCTTCTCTCCCCAGACAGTAAACAGGGGAAATAGCCTGGATTCATTTCACCAACCCCCAGCTGCTCCTAGCCCTGGAATCTACCCCCAATATCTACCCCCGCTGAGACTGGATAACTTAGCCGAGCTAAGGGATCGTTCTGATCTGTTTAGAGCATTTCTGCATTAGGTACCGTCTTTATGCAGTAATCTTCAGGATGGTTTCCATCACCTTTTATAAACAAGTTTTATCTTGCTGCGGCTGCGGCATGAATGACAACTTGCATTTATATAGCATAATTAATGTTGTAAAATACCCCAAGCACTTTACAGGAAGGTGATGAAACAAAACTTGATAACACACTGGAAAAAGACCATTCTGTCCATCGAGTCAACCTTAATCGATTGTCCTCCAAAGACTGCAAATCTGACTAGCTCCAGTCCATTCCTCAAAGTATAGGAACCATGCAGTTCAGCCAATTAAAAAAGTTTGGGTGTGAAAAGCTCCGATCAAATTGATTTACTAATTTGAGAAAGAGAGTTTGGGATTCACTTTTAAAAGAAGCACGTCCCAGCATCATGTCTTACACTGTTCAGTCACTGTTCAACCCTGAAAGGAAGGAGAATGATAGCCATCCATTTCCTGCTTCTTTCTGAGCATGATAGCCTGTTTTTTTTTTCTCTCTGTAAGGACAAGATCTAAGTGACTTAAAGGAAGTTTATCTTAATAATTCCTCTTCAATTGATCTTAGGCTGCACCTATTTGGACCATTTCTCCAAAGGCAAGGGGGAAGACATGATAAGCACAGGTCCATTTTAGTAACTAAACTGCCAACCGGAACTTTCTCAGTGCACTTTAAAAGGGTTTCTTGATATTAAGAGTTATAGAGTCATAGAGAAAGATAGCACAGAAACAGTCCCTTTGTTCCAACTCGTCCATGCCGACCCAGATATCCTAAATTGATCGAGTCTCATTTGCCAGCATTTAGCTCATATCCCTCTAAACCATTTCTATTCATATACCCATGTAGATGCATTTTAAATGGTATAATTGTACCAGCCTCCACCACTTCCTCTGGTGGCTCATTCCATACACACACCACACTGGTGTGAAAAAGTTGTCCCTTACGTCCGTTTTAAGTATTTCCCCTCTCACTTTAAACCTATGCCCTCTCGTTCTTGACTCCACCACCCCGGGGGAAAAAAACCTTGGCTATTCACCCTGTCCATACCCCTCATGATTTTATGAACCTCTATAAGGTCACCCCTCAGCCTTCAATGCTCCAGGGAAAATAGCCCCAGTCTATTCAGCTTCTCCCTATAGCTCAAACACTCCAACCCTGGCAACATCCTTGTAAATCTTTTCTGAACCCTTCAAGTTTTACAACATCCTTCCTATAGCAGGGAGACCAGAATTTCACATGGTATTCCAATAGTGATCTAACCAATGTCTCAACATAACCTCCTAACGCCTGTACTCAATGCACTGACCAATAAAGGCAAGCATACCAAACATCTTTGTCACTTTCCTATCTACCTATGACTCCACTTCCAAGGAACTATGAACCTGTGCTCCAAGGTCCCTTTGTTCAGTAACACTCCCCAGGACCCTACCATCAAGTGTATAAGTGCTGCCCTGATTTGCCTTTCCAAAATGCAGCACCTCACATTTATCTCAATTAAACTCCATCTGTCGCTCCTTGGCCCATTGGCCCATCTGATCAAGATCCCGTTGTACTCTGAAGTAAATCTAAGATGGAAAATCTCAGCAGGTCTGGCATCATCAACAATTTCTGTTTGCATCGTTGGAGAACTTGGTACCACTGTCTGAGTTGATAGCTTCTTCAAACAAAGTGAGAATACGTCTGAATCACATGATACATTGAAACACTTGCCCTCTAGTGATGTATACAAAAAAAGGTACTCAGTTGAAGGTGTGCCACAACAAAAAATATTTTGCTGACATGAGTGACAAAATGTAACCTTGAACCAAAGAAATTAGAGATTAGGAGGCGGCACCAAAAGCTTAGACAAGGAGATAGGTTGAAGGCAGCTCTGAAAAGCAGGAGGGAAGAATTGTATTCCAGACAAAACAACTATCGATGCGCAGGAGATAGG